GTAGGGACAAAAGGAGAAGAATGATACGGTATGATTATAATCTTACTAGCATTAATACAAGCTCTACGTGGTATGATGATGAACCATTCATACTTGCTATGGAAGCCCAACAAGTGTTTTATCTTGATGACTGTAAGTTGGGTTCACCCTAGAAAGTTGTACAAAAGGTGCAATTGAGAAACGTGTGGGATGTTCCGGAGGTCGAGGATACAAGTGGAGTGATAGTTGAGGATGATGTAGATCCTATGACAAATGATGTTTATCAACAAGACGAGTTTAATGATGTTCACTGGTTCGTTCAAGAAGAGGGCCTTGAAACTCCAGAATTGCATCTTAACGATCTTGACCCAGAAATTGTTGCTTCAGAGGTTGTGAACGATGATTGAATGAATGATGGTAGAGAAGATAATTTGATAAATGATGATACTGAAGAAGAAGATGATCCAGAAGATGGTGATGAAGAACCAATCATTTCAAGTGATGATGAGGATAGTGATTAGTTTATATCATAATTTTAATGTTCTTTTTTTGATTTGTGCGGGATGTTTTAGTTTGACATAATTTGATAAATGTAGCTATAATTTTACTGTTTTTTTATTAGCTTCTAGATTTTCTGATCAATAAAATATCCTTTGACATAAAAGATAGAACTATTGATAAACCCTTGAACTATTAAAACCAAATTTGGTCTTCATATAATCACATTGAAAGCAGATAAGACATTGCAGGGATTTGGAATAGTTTAACATATGGTTTTACTTTATTTTATTTTTTTAGGGGTGGAGGGTGTGGGGTTCCAAGAGTAAGGAACTCAAGTAGCTTATTTCTCTTGGATGTTATTTGCTTCTCCTAAAGAAGGTCATATTGTGTTTGTTTAAACATTTATAAAATCCACATTACTGTTTATCATCAAATTGCATGTTTTTGTTCTAATTTTCTATGTCTTATTTCTTAAACAATTAAGACTTTGTAAATGTGTTGCAGGAATGGCGTTTTTCCTAACTTTCATAGAGCATGCTATAGTCATCTAAGTGATAACAAACCTTGATAAATTCAACAAAATGTTGAAGAGTGCTATGTCATTCAAAGTTAACTAGAAAGAGAAAGACTTGTAATCTACTCTTTTCATCTCAAGGTTTTTTATTACCTTGTTTAATTTGTCTGTTTCCCTTATACATTATTTACAAAATTCTGGTAACCCTATTGTTTTATTTCTAAAGTCATTTTGTTTTAAGGATTGAAGGGCTTCAGCTCTGACTCTTGGTTCACTATGAAGCTCCTAGCATGCCTTTAATATTGACAAATAGGTTGTTGTTCACCTCTGGTTTAATATTTATAAATAGGTTGTCCACCTCTGGTTGATCTAGATATAGTTTCTATACTTTGCTTGTCGAGGTCTATTTATGATAATAAGGCTCTAAACCAGGTCTCCTACACTACCTTTACTCTTCATTATTATTATAGTTTTAGTGCAATATGAACACTCAAATGCTATCATAGTTTTAATGCAATATGAACAGTTATGAACATTCAAATGTGCAAAAACACATCTATAAATGCATTCTCATATGCAAAGCTAAAGGAGATCAAATTCTCACATGGTGTTTTAATAACTAATTTACCATACCATAACTTGAGATCATTCTTAAATGAACACTCTAAAGTTAAACCATTTCTGTCGAGGGGTTAACAGACTCGAACATTTAGGTTATCAGATCATATAGGAGTCTTGAGTTGAGTACAAGAGTCTTTATATTTGAATTACTTAATCTTTTTATAGAAAATTTAATGTTCCATACTTCTCTTCATATTCATATTTTATAGAAAATTCGTATGGACTAAATCCTTTCAAGGATGTACTTAACTTATTCATGTATGTTGGGGATGTTAAATAAGCCCTATTGTTTAATGAGGAAAATTTCAAACTTTCAGTAGTCGATAACCTTCTGGAAGGATGTTAAATAAGCCCTATTGTTTAATGAGGAAAATTTCAAACTTTCAGTAGTCGATAACCTTCTGGAAATTGTTTAATTCTTCAGGTGTCATTAGACAATGCCAACCTTTTCACTTTTTTCGATGTAATTTGACCATTGGTCTTGATGTTTCTCACTTTGTACTTTGTAGCTATGCTTCCACTTTTTTTCCTTTCTGATTACGAGCACTGTGCTTTATGTGGAACAGAAGCAAACTGTTAAACCATATCTTGATGTTGAGTTCCTTTGGGGGTCTATTAATAATTACTCAATTCAATCTATACCCCTCTTAAAGTCTTTTATGAATGATGGGAGGAAAGGAATAGACTTTTGCCTGTATGAATCTGACATACCCCTCTTAAAGTCTTTTATGAATGATGGGAGGAAAGGAATAGACTTTTGCCTGTATGAATCTGAAACTATATCTCTATTGTTTTTTTATGAATGATGGGAGGAAAGGAATAGACTTTTGCCTGTATGAATCTGAAACTATATCTCTATTGTTTATTTGAGAGGGTACATTATGCTAGAGTCTCAGGATACCCTTTGCATATAACAGCAATAAACGAGGAATATCAGTTGTTTTGTTTATGGAACAGGAACATCTAGGACCATGAAACCAAAAATGGATCATGTGCTTATGAAATTGGAAAGAACTTTTCTCTCTTTTTATTGAAAACCTAGACTTGTCTTACAGCGTTAGGTTTGGATAGCCTTCTGTGCTCTTTCTATATACTTACTAACACCTTTTACTACTTGCATAAAAGGCCTTGACTATATGCACTTCATCAGTGTAATACTTTCATAATGGTCTAGACGTTGTTTATAAAACAAACAAAATGGCAATTGTTCATTTTGTTGATGTAATCCTTTTACTGTGGATCGTTGCTGTAAATTCTTTTTTTATGTTTATTTTGACAAAACATCAAAGGCCTAATAGAGGTTAAATGATGTTAACTTGTTTGACACCTTCACACTGAACCTCAGGATATCTTGGATCTTATAGAATTCTCGAGTCAAAAACATGAGAGGACAGTGCTTTATGCTATAGTAGATTGTGAATATTGCATAGAAGTCAACTCAATCAGATAAAGTCTATTAGTGCAAAAAATGTCTTGTGATTTGGGAACTATGAGTCTCTTATATCTTGGAACGTTTAGGAACAAAACTACGTTTTGCTTCAAAAGGTTTATGTGATAATGCAAGTAGTATTCTGAGTTGCAACTAGCTGTCCTTCACTTTTAGTACCGCTTCTTGTGGTGATTACTCTCAAGTGTAGGAGTATATTCATTATCATCCAGAACATTAGAATTTTAACATCTCCATTCTGTGGGTCATACACGAAGTTTCCTCTTTCTTCTTATATTTATATTTTTTCTATTACAATATTTTCCCTTATATCTCACTTTGATTCTAAGGAGTTTCCTGTGCTCACATTCTAGCTTTTGGGGATAACTATCCATCATCCTTAAAAACTGCGTGTCTACTTCAGAACCATAATTAAATGCTTAGCCCTACACTTAATTTTGCCATTATTAATGCTTCATGGTTACCTTCGCAAAACTTTATTTATTTTGCGCTGTGCCTTATAATTCCTTTGTATACCAAGCTAAATTCAGATAAAAGGAAGTCGAGAAAGAAAACAGATAATAATAATATATAGTAGACTGTAGCTTTTCACCTGAAGCAAAGATTAAATATGCTCAACCCTTACATATACAATTTCTAACGTTCAGTTGATGTGCCAAAATACTACTATGTTTTTTTTCTGGAGTGATAGCCAGTTAATTGGAATTTGGAATGTGATAACTTTTAATTCAGATAATTGACAGCAAAGTATCAGTTGCTGATGGTTAAACTACTTCTTGTGATTATTAACCTAGTTCTGTAAAGTCTCTTTGGTGGAATGGAGATAGTTTGGATATATTTGGTGGTTTGATCAAAATATGCAACTTCTTTAATGGAAACTGATAGTTGTAAATCCCAATGTTGTAAATCCCATGTTTCAGGCTGTTTCCATTTATCAGGTTCATTAACCTGATGCTTAAATCCTAAAGTCTGTGCATGGTTGAGGGTGTCAGTAAAAATGCTTTATTCCTTGTATTTCATTGTTGTTATTTACTTTAGATTTGCGACTGATCTTGGTTCTGCAGCAAAATTTGCAGCGGAAAGTTGTTTCCTGCATGTGCTGCTTGGATTATCCTGATTTCCTCTGTTTCTTGCCATAGAAATACTCAGTTGTAGAGAACAGTCTTAATGTCTGCTGACGATGTTGGACTGGCATAATATTAGGTGCCATCAGCACTCTGTCCATATTATGTGGACTTGGAGTACAGGAGCAGGCTGCCATCACTGCAGCTGGATTCTTATAGACATTTCTTTAGAGCAGCAATTCCATGCACATCCATATTAAGAGCAATCCGAGAGTCATCCATTTGATGATTTACTAGCTAGTAGCAATTGCTGGAACCCGACTTAAGTATTGTGATGTTTTCCTGTTGTAACTTTACTGTTTATATGTTGAAATTATGTTCTAATTTCTCAGTTGAGAGGGAAGTGATCGACAGGAGAATAAAGAGTTTCACATTAGATAAATCGATGAAAAATTGAGGGCCATGCAAATTAACACCTTTGGAATATAGTGATGGTATGAAAACCACCTTCAAAGCTCATTTGTACAAAAACCACCTTTAAAGAGGGTTCCGATTGCAATCTATTACATTCTTTTGCTTTTTGACCATTCTAATTGTTTGATAATAAACAGTGAGAAGATGTATCGTAACAAAGCACCTATCGTTCAGAGTTCTACTTTTGGTAAGTAGTGCATATTTCTCTTATAATTCATGATTCATTCACTTGGTTGATTAGAATATTATTATCAATTTAACGTTTATGTAACAACAGGTAATGCACCAAGTAATCAATCACATGCAGAATTATTGAAAAAGAAACGTTCTCATGCAGCAACTAGTTATCTGTCATACATGAATTCTGCAGGGAATGGATCCGGTTCTAATCCGAGTAAATATGCAATCTTCATTTTACTGCTAGAATATTTAAGTACTGTTAGTTTTTACTTATCTAACAAGTGTGTATGCTAATAGGTACAAAACGTACTCGTCTGCAAACTTCCAATCAAGAATGCCAAAATTCTGTAGCAGATGGACTGAATTCTAGTAGTACTGTTGTCACCACAGAACGAACTACTACTGGTAAGTGGTGTTGAATTGAGCTGAATTCAGTTGAATTGAGCTGAATTGAATTATTTTCCTCTAAAAGGTGTAGAGAAGCTGAATTGAATTTCATTTTCATCAATTGCAAATTACAAGGGTATACCTAAACTACAAACTCGAATGACAGGGATTAGAGTTAGTGCACGTCTTCAGCAACAAAGTGTTAATGATCAGCCAGTGGTAAACACCATAGTTGAAGAGCGAGATGATAATGTGATGTCAGATATTAATCAGGAGCCTCCTCCAGGTATACAAAACATTATATACATATATTTTGAGAATTAAATATACGTATGTGTTATGTTCTTAATAAAAATTATGTCAAAGGTACAACCAAAAAGGTGCGAGGGAAGACAAGAGGAGTGAATGCAGATAAGGTGTTCTCCCAATTGAATTCTAAAATACATGTGACTCTGACTGAAGAAAATGCCAGACCTACGGGCCCTTATGCTGAGATGTTTGCAAATGAAATTGGTTACACAATTCGAAACTACGCCCCACTGAATGTGGAAAAATGGAAGAAGATTGAAAAAGCAGATGTGGAGAACTTGATCAAAAGAATGCCCACTGAATGTGGAAAAATGGAAGAAGATTGAAAAAGCAGATGTGGAGAACTTGATCAAAAGAATGCAGATTAGTGATGATTTATTTTGCTAAAGGTATTATATTGGTTGCTTTGATTTGTTATATTTAGTTTGACATGAAATTATGCCTGTGTAGAATAAGTTTGAATTTGATATGTCGCTCCCTTGGGTTCATAGATATGTAATTACAATATGTCAGACCGTATATTGTAATTTTCGCTATAAGTTGAAGAAACATTTTGAGCAGTTTTCAACAATTAAGGAAGCAATTGAAAACAAACATGAAGTTGTTAAGACTCAGGAAGAATGAGAGTTTCTTTGCACTCATTTTTCTAGTGAAAAGTTAAAGGTACAATATCTTTTTTATTTTTCTCCACGCATTACATTTTTTCCATTTTTCATTTACTTCTTTCTAACTGTATGTCTCGATAATTTTAGATTCGCTCAGAGAAGAATGTTCTTAATAGGTCAAAGTTGACATATCACCACAAAGCTGGGTCAAAATCATTTATGTCACACCAAGAGCAAATTGTAAGACACTTTTTAGTTTTGCTTATAAATTTGTAACTTAATTGTGTACATATATATATGCTGAAAATGAAAATATGTTTGAATGCAATAGGCAACACAGAATGGAGAGATGCAAGGTGCAATTGATCATTTTAAAACAGAGTATAGAAGTACAAAAAAAGGATGGGACTTGGGAGCAAAGGAAAAATGGGTAAGTAACGTGTCAATGATGCATGCTTTTATAATATTTTAAGAATATAGGTAAAATTGATATTACTGTTCTAAAGAGGATTATATTGATTTGGTCGTAATTAAGAAGTTGCATATGATTGAACTGGATATAATTTTGTTTTACTTATAGGATCAAATGATAAAGATGCGAGCAGATACCACTCAACCTGATGGAACTCGAACAATGACAGATGAGGAAATTTGTGCAAAAGTTCTCAAAGTCAAATCATGACAGATGAGGAAATTTGTGCAAAAGTTCTCAAAGTCAAATCAGGCTACATTAAGGGATGTGGTTTTGTCCCTAGACCACCACCATTAAGGTTCTCTCGTTCTTCGATAAGTGAAATGTCTGAAAAGAATAAAGAGTTGCAAGAACAGCTTCAAGAGACCCAACAACTTGTAGGAACTCAACAACAGAAGATCGATGCGCAAAATAAGGTAATCCAAAGATTGGAGGAGCAAGCCAAAAAGTTTGAGGAGTTTATGGCTAATTTTTCGAGGCAACATCCATCAGCTTAGTATTCTTAGTGAACTTAAACTTGGAGAAATGTTTCTTTGATCGTGTTGCATTTGTTATTGCTTTAGACTAGCATTGTTACTTATGGTAGTAACTTTCTTGCTTTCTTTATTTTAATTGTTTTGATGTACTGTGGTGACAATTAATGATAATTATTTATATTTTGTGTTTTTCTCTTAATAGAATTATTATTGATGAAATAAAATTCCTCATTATAAGTTTTCTCGCTATATATTTAGGTCGATGAAAGTAAATTTCCTCGAAATAGACCCTACAACTTAAGGTGACGAAAATATGTTTCCTCGCAATAGGCCACATACTTATATCGTCAAAAGAATATTTCCTCGTTATAGAGTATACTGCTTACGTCGACAAAAACATATTTCCTCGCTATAGTGATACAACCTATAACAGCAAAAGTAATTTTCCTCGCTATAGACCATATAACCTATATCGACAAATGTAAATTTCCTCGTAATTGAATTTCTTTGGCGAGGAATATGGGGTACAACCTACAACGACAAATTTAAATTTTCTCGTCATTGAGTCTCTTTACTGAGGAACTGTTTCCACGAGAAAAAGATACATATAATAAAGAAAATCAATTTCCTCGTTAATGATTTACCTTTGGTGAGGAACAATTTCCTCGTTGAAAGGTACTTACAACGATGAAAATAGTTTTTTTAAAACTTTTATTATATATAAATTAAATATTATTCACATATCATTGGCGAGGAAACTATAGTTTAGCGATGAAAAAGGCATAAGATTAGGTGAGGAAAAATATCGAGGCTAAAGAGTAACAAGGAGACAAGAATATATTCATCGCAAAAAGGATTTCGTGAGAAATTATAATATTCCTCGCAGAAACTTTTCTTGACCACCCTACCGCGAGGAAATGGTGACCAAAGTTTTTTCCTCGCGAACACACTATGGCGAGGAAATCTCAACTTTCAACGACAAACTTGTTCCTCACGGATTAGCTTTTCTGTTTTAGTGATAGTTATCATTATAAAGCAATAAGCCAGCCCACAAAAAAGAGAAAACCATGGTGCAAGGCTGAAACCATGGTGCATGAGTTCAATAGAGGACACTAAAATAGATAGTTATCCTCAAATCTTTTCGTTTCATTTCTTTCTTTGTTTTCAGAAAGAGTTAATAGCTAAAATCAAGGCCGAGAGCAAGGCTGAAACCATGCACACAATTAAAACAAAGGCCAGGCAACAACTAAAACCAAAAGCCAACCATAGCTGACCAACCAAGGCCGAGAGCAAGGCTAAAACCATGCACAAAATTGAAACCAAAACTGAATACAGACACGTTGGAACCAAAAATTAAAACTGAAACACAAATCCATACAGATTATATAGAAGAATGGCCACGTTTATGAAGAAAATTAGCAGATAGCATAGCAACGGGTCGAGAAATTACCTGGTTCGTGGAGATCGAGCGTCTACAATCCACGAGAGAAACAACAACGTCATAGGCTAGCGGACGGTAGGAGAAGGAGATCGTCGTCGGACAGCAGAAGGCAGGCGGGAGAAAGTGAAATGAGAGGGAGAAGGGGCAGTGATTGTAAACCTAGGCGAAAATGAGAGATCTTTGTGGGAATGGAATTGACGCCCCCCTTTCTCCCAAAATCGACCAATTTCAGCGTTTTGATGAAGGAAAACAACATTTCCCCAAAGTGAGCTTGCATCCTACTTCTCCCCCACTTTCCTTTTTCTATTTTAACCATCCAAACATCCGATTTTACAAAAAACTGACAATTTTTACCTGTCAGTTTTCTTTTAGGGGTGTTTTTTGTATTTTTTGGGCCAAACAAATAGGCCCTCAGAGGAAAGGTAATGAGTTTTCACTTATTTTTCTCAAGGCTTTGAATATATAGATATATATTATATATATATATATATACTACTTATATTAGTATATATTTATATATATATATAATATATATATAATATATATATATTATATATATTATATGTATATATATTATATAGTATATTATATAATATATATAAATATATATATATATATATATATATATATATATATATATATATATAATAATATATATATAAGAGTTGAAGAGCTATTAGTTGACTTTTTTATTGCGGAATGGAGATGAGACTCACTTATAGTGCGCAGGTGTTATTGCCGAAACTTGTTCAGTTGTTCTATTATTATAGGGTCTTTTTTTTAAAACATCCATAACCCATCTAAAAATGAAGCACCGGATGATTGACGACTCAGCGCCACCCTAGCCAAGGGGCTTGTTTGACACACCTGCCCCCTTTTTCACAACACACACACACACACACGTGTGTGTGTATTTAATTAATGTGTATCATATGTTATATGAGGGGATTTCCTCTTATATACAATAATATGGCATAATTTCCACTAATAAACCAAAAAACCAAGAAATAGAAATGAAAACCAAGAAATCTCAAAAAGTACAATTTCACATATTTCCATCTCTAAAACTCACCCACAACATCTAATAAAATATTTTTTTTATCCAACAACTCATCCACCATATCTAATAAAATATTATTTTCATCCAACAACTCATCCATCACATCCACCACATCTAATAAAATATTATTTTCATCCACAACATCACTCAACTCATATCATCTCATATTTAAAAATTACTTACATCATCCAATAAGATTGTGACAACTCATCTCATCTCATTAACATTTCATTTCTTTGTTTTCCTTCTAAAAAGCTAGGAAAACAATTTCCTTAAGTATGAGTCACATCATCCAATAATATAATGACAACTCATCTCATCTCATCTATTTTCTTATTTTTAAGAAATAACCAAACAAAAGAAAACAACCTATTACAAGAAATATGTTTAGGTTTCTTATAATTCATTTCCTTATTTTTTCCGCCAACCAAACAACATCAAAACAAGTTTTCTTAAAAAATCACTCACATCATCCTATAATAAGGTGACAACTCATCTCATCTCATCTCCATTTCTTTGATTTCCTTCTTTTTTTAGCCAACCAAACAATCCCAAAACATTTTTTGGTTTCTTTTTCTTTGATTTCCCTCTTTTTTTAGGCAAACAAACAACCCCTAAGTGAATAAAGTAGGAGAGAGAATGTCTCATAACTATCCTTAGTTGAGGTTGTGTCACATCATTGTATATGAGAAAATCTCCTGATATGACATATGATACCCGTTAATCTCTCTCTCTCTCTCTCTCCCTCCCTCCCTCCCTCCCTCCCTCTCTCTCTCTCTCTCTCTCTCTATATATATATATATATATATATATATTAATGGGTATCATTGTCAAGGTGGGGATTTCCCATATTGACTCTGTCACGCCCCGCTTCCTAAAATACCGGAGAATCAGAACATAAACAAGCCCACATTGTATTAGATTAAGGAGAATAACTAAAAATAAAACATTTCTCCTCAACCTAATACGCTAAGCGTCAAGAAATAAATACAAAAGCACAGGTCCCCGATCACAGATAGCGAGAATATAGTGAATAACACAGAATAAAATAATACATATCATAAATGAATATCATCCAAGACATAATATACGGGTCAAACATGCCCTTATACAAAACTATCTGAATGAAATACTAGAGAATATAAATTACAATGATCAAGCAAAAAAGGAAATCCTACAAAAGTAAGCTAAGACCATCGAACAACTAGAGGGAATAACTAAGCTTCGGCTTCCTCTGCTAGGTTTGCAAGGCACTCCTACGGAGAATCCTCAGGCTCCTGCTGTATCTGCTCTTCTTCTAAGTCTGACGTACACCAGAGAAAACAGGTGTACGTCAGTATGCATAACACACAGCAAGACCCCATAAAAGAAAAGAACGAACGAAAACCCAATGCGAAAAACGATACAACAACAGAAATGACAAAGGAACGTACAACTAAAAATTCAACAAAATCAAAATGCAATTCATAATTAAAACGTGATACTCATAAGGCTAACAACATACAATAACCAGGTCGAATACTAGCCATCCTAAAAACTCACTGGTCCACCTTTCAAATAGGTCCAAGTTCGCATTACCGGAAGACTGACTGTTCACAATCCCCTACGCGCATCCAATCCCATGAAACAGGCGGCTAGAGGACTACACGCAATCCGATCTTAGCCTGGTCCGAACTCAGGCAAAGCTTAGGTGACAAAACAGGTCACGGATCCAAGTGGCAAAATAGGTCACTTGGTCCAACAAACTAACCCCATGATGAAACAGGTCTCTGGTGTGAGTCTGGAAGATAAGTCAACAATCACATTTGATCATGTGAACCCAGACTTTCTCATCCCAACTCTTCTCGTTCTTTCTAAGTCAACAATCATAATCCCTATTAAAACTCAGGTCCACCACCTAAACTCAGTCAACACACCCATACATGTCACTAGGTCTGTTCATGACGCACGATGCTACTAAGTCATGAACTACTAATGTTCTCAAACACAATAAGGAACAATCAAAGCAGACATGTCAAATACAGTAAAATATTCGCAAAACATGAAATGTAATCATGAATCAGTAAAAACATACATACAGTCCGGTTTTATCAATATCTTGTTATGCAACCCTCTAAACTACTCATACAATTTATCAGTAGCTAAGTAATATCTAATATGACTATGGTTAAAAATAAAATCAAAAAACTGTGATCGTTTTACACATAAAATGTCGCAGTCTGTAATCATCAACACAAGATCATAAATTAATTTAAATCCAAAAATAAATAATCTTTTTGCCAAATAAATTCCTTTAAATCATCATAATTATCAAAAATATAATTATTTTGCCGAAAATAATTTAACAACTCACAATGACCCCTTTTTCGAAATAAATAATTTTAAATTATCTATTTTAATAATTATTCAAAACCAACTCTTTTTCCAAATAAATCCTTTTCTCATCATAATAATTCTAAAAACATCTCAACATAGCCAACTTTACATAAAATATTTTTTCTTTAAACTATTCATATACAATCATTATTTAATATTATTCATTAACAAGCCCACATAGAATATCACTATATAAATATACAACAACATAAACGAAATACAGTCTA